GCGCGTCTGTCTGCCCGTCTGTCAGTGTGGCTGTCCGTCTGCCTGTCCGTCTGCCTGTCTTCAGCTCAGGGATGTATGCATATGTTCCACACTACCGACACGAACACACGACTGGCCTGCCTAGCGGCCCCGACGACCACAATGCACCCGCGCCTGTCTGTCCATCTGTCCAGCTAGGCTTGACCTTTACAAACTCACACACCGCACGCAACAGCTCACTTTCATACATCAGTTGTTTTGTCTCAGGTTTTCAAATCCGTGTGGCTTCGCGGGCTTGCTAATTATTGGCTTGCGGTTTCGTTTGCGTGACAATGTGGCCAATCAACACGATCACCGGCAGGTCATGAACGTCACAGGGAGGAGAGAGAGAGAGAAGGAGAGAGAGAAGGGGAGAGAGAAGGAGAGAGAGAAGGAGAGAGAGAAGGAGAGACAGAAGGAGAGACAGAAGGAGAGACAGAAGGAGAGACAGAAGGAGGGGGAGGAGGGGGAGCAGAGAGGGACGGAGAGAGAGAGAGAGAGAGAGAGAGAGAGAGAGAGGAGGCTATAGAGAGGAGGGGAAGATCAGGAGGTTATATAGAGACCAGTTTGGCCGGTGAGGAGACAAGGGGCTAGGCAGGCGCGGGGCTCTCTGGTGCGGGCCGTTGACACTGGCGGCGAGCGCCGGGCAGCAGGAGGGTAACGTTCCTCTGCTGCTGCTGGAGCTGGAGAGGTACGTTCGACGTGACGTAAGGGGAGGCTGCCGCTAAAGGTCTCTGCGGGCTCCGCAGGGGACGGCCGGCAGCCACAGCCAAGCCCTGCGCCTGCCTATGCTCCCCGCTGCTGACTGACCGATGTGGTGGTCTGGTTCAAGTGTCCGTGCGGAACGGCCGAGCAGCGCGGTAGGCGTCCAGTCGGCACAAACGCACACATTTCATTTTTACAGATGTTAAGAAGAGAAGAGAAAAATTGAACCTGCGGAGGATCGAGACTGATATTTTTGTGTTTCTCCGTCCGTGGAGACTAGAAAAAAGTTGTAAGATATAACGAATGTTTAGCGCCGAGTATTGACTGTTTACGAATTATTGGGAAATTCGAGATGAAGAAAGAATAAGAAGTGGAGGAAGCTGACGGGGACGAACGTAACAATAATCGTACACATCGCTTGTAACCACACACACACATACACACACAAATACACACAGACAGTCGCGGCGCTCGGAGCAGCTCTGAGGATCCTGACAGCACAAAGCCGGGGCGGAGCCCAGGACGCCGAAATGAAAGCTGTTTTCGGGAGGGGCGCGCGCCCGCCGCCGCGCGTGGTCCCGAGGGAGCGGCTAGTAAGGAGAGGGCGAAGGAAGGAGGAGGAGGAGGAGAGAAGTGTGCGGTGCATCATGTTTAGTGGGCTCGGGCTGTTGTGTCATCGTCCTATGCGACGCCCAATACGCTCTCGCCTCTATAAGCCCTGCGCGTCGTCGTGAGCCCCCTCACCGGGACCCTGGTAGGTGATGGACCGAAGGACGACGCGACGGCGACGGCAAGCCGTGGAGGAGGAGGGCGGCGAGCAGTGGTGGGTCGAACAATGAAGGAGCGCGGCGGGGCGGGGCGGGGCGGGGCGGGGTCACTGGCGGCGCGGCACAAAAGACGACACACAGCAGCTCAGCCCACGACGGGGTGGTATAGCGCCCCCCACGTGCCCATACGACGACGACCACCAAGAACAAAACACCGAGACAAAAATAGAAAAAAAAAGATGAAAATGAAAAATATTTTTTTTATGGTTGTGCGCGACACGGGCGCATGGGTGGTGGCCGTGGTGGTGGTGGTGGTGGTGGGTGATTTCATGGGAAAGTGTGTCGCCGCTAGACGCGAGCTTCGCACTGCCACCTCCGCCGCGGAAAAAGAAAAGGCATTGCCATTGCCGCTGAGAAAAACTGCGCGAAAAATTGGGGGGGAAAAACAACAAACCCATAAACTTATTCTGCCCCCATCCCCCCCCCCCCCCCAAAAAAAAAGAAGAAAAGAAAACTGAACCCATGTATAAGTGTAAGCTCGGCGGCGTGGCGGCCAGATCAGGCAGAGCCACGCGGAGCGTCAGCGGAACCATCAGTTTCCCGAAGGAATGGCCAAAACGACGACGTTCGATCGCCTTTTGCTCTCCCTAAATCACAGCCATCACGCAAACACCCCGCGGCTCCGTCATGCCGTCACGCCATAGGTAGGCTAGCCCCCCCCCCCCTCTTTCCGCCTTTGTGTAAACCAGACTACACTTTGGTCAAAGTAGCCTTCTTCGCGGTCGCGCAGAGAGCCAGTGAACCGTTTTTTTCCTGCTGCATTTTTATCCTGTCCTCTGCTTTTGTTGAAAAAAAAAATAATCCCCATGTTTGTTTACTGTACTAAGAGCCTACAGCCATTATTGTAAAAACTGACGTCGGAATTAAAATTAAACACTAGTGTTAGAACTTTATAAAGCAATGCTTTGTAATACAAAGCATTTGGAAGCTTTGTTTATTACAGTGTAAGGTCGAATGTGAGCTGAAAATTGCGCGAAAAGCAGCTCCGGGTATCTTCGTTTTTGCACAAGGGTGGGCCAGGTTCATGAATTCTCTATGTGCGCACATAGAGAATTAAATGGAGCTAAATGGGGCGAAAAGGGGTAGAATGTAATAGACCTGGGGACACCTACCGACTACAAAACGCGACTACAAAATTCGCAGTCGATGGGGGATGGGGCGTCCTGAGCGTAAAGCTGGGTTGGACGTCGACTGACACGCTGGGCTCCGTGGTGTGACGTGAAGTGCATTTGACCAAATTTGACGCAATTTAGATTGAATTTAATACTTTACGTCAACCCTGCTGCCTGTCTATTCGAGCAGCAGCTGCTGCTGTAGTTTGAAGGCCAAAATCCTCTCCTCGTTCCCTGCTCCTCCCATCATAAAACGCTTATTTGACAGCGGCCGGCAGAGCGATAGAAACATGGATTATGGTGACGGCGAGCGGCAGAACCGTACACACGGAGCTCTTTGGGGCGTCGCGCTGCCAAACGAGTGCAGCGGCGGTGCGACCCAAATCCTGCTTGAGCGAGTGCGGGGCGAGGCGGGGCGAGGCGGGGCGGGGCGGGGCGAGGCGAGGCGGGGCGAGGCGGTTAGACCATCCCCAGGTGCGTTACGCTTTATGTCGCGCTTGGCTAGTCCAACCGAAAGACCCTGGGACAGGTTGTCCTTCTCTGATAATGAAAAAAAAAGAAAAAAATGCAAAAAGAAAAGTTTCTACGAAATATATGAACATGAAAAAAAGGAAGACTTTTCTCTAAACTCGATAACTTCGTTGAGGAATTATTTTATTTTGTGGTGTCACTGCAGTGATTGGGAGTGTAGCAAACGCTAAATCGGACAAGTAAAGTGCGGTGACAAAAAAAAAAGTCTTGTCAGTTTTGCATGAAACAGCTGCAGCTCGCGGGACTCGAGCGACCAGGAGGCGGGGTGCGGGGAGAGACATGGCCAACGGGACATTTCTATGGTGGCCGCCGTCACATGATTGGCGTGGCGAGGCTGGGGTTCGATAGCTCGATCGCCCGCTCTGGTCGTCCGTATCGATAAGACAGCTAGACGGACGCGGTCTCTGCGGCGGCGGAGCGGAACACTGCCGAACGGAACGCCGCCGCCGCCGCGCCGTCGTCGACGCCGACGTGCCAAACTTTTGGCTTGACAGCCCGATTCAGAGGTAAATACAGTACACTCCCCCTTTTTACAAACAAAAAATTGTTTTGAGAGGAAAAAGTTTCGTTTGTTGTAGTTTTTTCTTGCTGTTGCGAGCAGCGACGGTTTCATTCTAAGGTGATTTGTTTTTTGAACTGCTTATTTTTTTATTAGGGATTCGTAGTAAAGGTTTCCTGTTTCGACGTTGAGCTCGAAATGACTATTTGTTCCCTGGGAGTGCGGCTGTGCTAGCGAAGGGGGTCGAATGGGGGAAGCGATTGTTTGCTAAACGTAGCGCGCCCACAGCACTGCGCTACCCACAACACGGAGAGAGAGAGAGAAGGAGAGAGAGGAGAGAGAGAGGAGAGAGAGAGAGAGGGAGGGAGAGAGAGAGAGAGAGAGAGAGATGAGAGATCCCACAACGAATCACACATCCGAGAATCTCGAAGAGGAATAAAGAGAGGGATAGAGAGACAAAGAGGAGATCGAACGAATATGTTTTATGTAGGAGCGTTAAACTTACCGTGCGGACATGTGAAGAGGCCCGAGGTAGCATTGCTGCCCGGAGCGGTACCCTGCAAAAACAAAACGGCGAGATTAGTCATCGGCAAATAGAGGGGAAGAGAGAGCTGCTGAAGGGCTTTATGTAAACAACCAACAGAACAAAATCAAAGAAGGGGAGATTCTCCATCTTCTCCTTGCTCCCCGTACCGACGAAAGACAATACAAGGAAGTTGGCGATAACAAACGCGTTGCGATCGGACGGAAAAATCGAAAAACGAAGAGGACCAAAAAGCATCGGTCGGTTCGCCCTGCGCCTGTGAGGTGCAGACGCAGACCGATGGCCGATACGCGGCAGGACTTCCCCGCCGGCGCCTGCAGGGGGCATCCAGCGCCCGTCGAGCGCCAGGGTCACCAGGGCCTCCAGGATCTCCCCAATCTCCAGGGCTGCAGGGTGTCCAGGGCGTCCTGGGCTCCCAACACCTCCAGCGCCTCCGGGGCCTCCAGGACCCCCACCACCTTCACGGCGCCAGGGATTCCAAGGCTTCCAGGGCTCCAAGCACCTCCAACGCCTCCAGGACCTTCACCACCTCCAGTGGGCTTCAGGGCTTCCAGTTCCTCCACCGCATCCAGCACTTCGTCCAACGCCAGGGGCGCCGGGGGCGCCGGGGCCGGCCGGAGCCGGACGGGCCTATCATCGAGGAGAGGAGGAGGGATTGTTTTTCGAGTTTGCTTTCTATCGGAGACGGCGGCGGAGGAGGAGGAGGCTTTCGTTTTCACAATGGACGGCCGTGTTGCAGATTTGATCGCAGAGGGAGGCGGCCTTCCCCCGGCCGCGGAGGAGCAAAAGCACTCTCCGAAATACTCATAAAACTGCGAAAAACGCGCAGGAAAGGCGGAAAACTACTGTACTCGTCAAAAAGTAAAAGTCGGTAAAAGTACACCTTATTTATTCTCGTTCAAAAAAATAATTTTGCTGGTTTTACTAAACAGACTTCAATGTTCACCATAGGATGGGCTCCATCCTCGCACGTTACACCCATGGCAGATGGCTATCTCTCGGTTATGAGTATATATCTCTGGCAGAGAGCGCTTGGCTGAGAGGAGAGCGCTTGTGCCTTGCGCTCTTCATGGCGGCCGCCCACCTACCTCGCGCCTCGCTTGGCATCGGTGCCGGCATTAACGCCCAGGCTCCTCTACGGCGGCGGCCCCGCTGCCTGCTGCTATGGCCGACATCATGGGCGCCGCCGACACGCCGCCGCTCGGCCCGCGCGGTGACATTAGGTCGCCCCGGTGGGACCCTGGCCATGGAAATGGAGATTGGACGCCGGACACACGCCAGCCGGGGCTCGCCACCGCGCCGCGCCGCGCCGGCCGGACACGAGCGGGTGACACAGAAACACTTCATTCCGGACACACCGCCACACCGGCGCCGCTAGACCACGGCCGGGACTCCCCAAGATTGCTCTTGATATTCCAGCAGAGGGAAAGGCCACACCATGAGAGACCCCAAAACCGTTGTCAAGATACTTCCTTCTTAGTTAAATAGAAATTGTGAAAAGATATTTCTTACATTGCTAGGAAAGTTTTTTTCTTTCAATTTTTTTTAATCACAAATTTTCTTCCAATAAATTTGACGCTTATTTTTAAAATAGTTTTGGTGAAAAGAGTCAAATACTCTCTGCGTTTCACCAGTAGTATAGGACAAGAAGAGAGATGAGTGTAATTATCTCAATTTCTTTTCACTCGGCTTTTCCTCCTTCCGGGACTCGAATAAGCAGCAGCTGCCATATTACTTTCCGCCGTTTAGGCAGCGGGTGCGAGGAGCAGAGTACAGTCCGCTCCACCGGCACCGGGTCGTCATGGCGCGCTGAGCCTCGGGGAGCACCGCTGCAGCGCGGGCCGCGATGTGCA